AGGACCCTGTGAACATAAAGCCCTAAAGGACCCTGTAAACATAAGGCCCTATAGGATCCTGTGAACATAAGGCCCTATAGGACCCTGTGAACATAAAGCCCTTTGGACCCTGTAAACATAAAGCCCTAAAGGACCCTGTAAACATAAGGCCCTATAGGACCCTGTGAACATAAGGCCCTATAGGACCCTGTGAACATAAAGCCCTATAGGACCCTGTAAACATAAGGCCCTATAGGATCCTGTGAACATAAGGCCCTATAGGACCCTGTGAACATAAAGCCCTAAAGGACTCTGTAAACATAAGGCCCTATAGGACCCTGTGAACATAAAGCCCTAAAGGACTCTGTAAACATAAGGCCCTATAGGACCCTGTGAACATAAAGCCCTAAAGGACTCTGTAAACATAAGGCCCTATAGGACCCTGTGAACATAAAGCCCTAAAGGACCCTGTAAACATAAGGCCCTATAAGTCCCGGTAAGATTATATTTTGCCCTGTTGGCCATGCATTAACGAGAAACATTAGTGCTAATGCTCAAAAATGCTAGTGTGTTGTAGCATTGATTCTAATTAGCATGACTGAAAAGACGCACTGCTGCGTGTAAAGAGCATTGTCTTGTAACATTTGAAAAACTGGTGTTCAGCCTGCTTTGCTAAAACTTCCAAGGACTAGTTTAGCAAGTTAATAGTGATCAAACAGCTAGCTTTCATTCAGTGCAAGCTACATTAGCATGCTGTCCCTTTTAGCCAAGGTGATGCTCTTCAGACATTCTGAATTCAACAAGCATTTTATATACTGTTACAGCATGGTGTCCCACTTTAGGACCAGTGTTGTCCTGAAGATACAGTCAGCATTTACTGAAACAGCTCCACAGATGCCCCAGATTAGCTCCCTTGTTAAGAGAGTATGGTAAGTACATAGCCTTAGTTGCTAGTTGTTTTTTGAGTTTAATTTCATTCTGTTGTTTCAACTCCTGGACTGCTTCACTATTGCTGACTCACTTTGGACCATTAGTGTTTTATTTTACACCAGAGTGATCTAAAACAAGAAAAATAGTGCCTAACAAACTATAGTCCCTGTTCTGAGCATGCTAGAAAAACCAGCATAGACCGGCACAGGCTTGGATGCTGGTATGCTGGTCAACCAGCATGGGATAGTTGCTGGTTCTACAGGTAATCCCAGTACTTTTGGAACTGACCAACTTGTTTTTGTAGCTACTCAGGTCAGCATTTCCTTGAAGTAACAGTCCTTGGTTTGGGGCGTGTCTATACCCACCTCAGCCTGTTGTTGTTCTTACAGCAGTTGTTGCAGTAATCCAGGGTATAAAGCTATATGTTTAATATAATTGACTGGACAAGGACTGGACAAGAACAAGTGGGTGCAAATAGGTACCTCAGGGTTCAATGTTAAGGCCCTTTATGTAGTTTTTTTTCTCTTCATTGCTGGTTTGGATCCATGTTAAAGTGCTTTATATAGTGCTGCAGTGTTATTTGCACTCATCTGGGATCAGTATTAAAGCATCTCCTTTCATGTTGTGGATATATCTTGGGTACCAACCTACTTCCCACAGAGACCTCTTGGTGATGTCACGAAGATGCTGTAGCTGTCTGTACTCATACCATCTGACTTTAGTGTACCCGGTTTGATTGTGGGAGTGCCTGCTTGTGTACTTGACCTTGAATAACTTGGAACAGAACGGTCCGTCCAGTCTTTTTAGAGAGGGAGAGGCAGGAAGGGTCGCGGTAAATCACTTCACGTACATTAAAGGGTTGGACGGATTGACACCTGGCTAAATGGAGGGGTGATGACACGAGCTGGCTGATGAGGAGAGCAGAGTGGATTTCAGGCTTCAGCTAGCGCTTGCTATCATTAATGCTTTTAACATTACAGAAAAAAGACAGCGTACAGCACGTTTATCAGGGTTATATAAGTCCTTCAACATTTCACTGGAGCCCACTGTGACAAGACGAGGCCTAGAGCAGGGGTCTTTAATTCAGATTCAGTAAGGTCCAGTTAGAGAAAATATCCTCAAGCAAAGGTCCGGAACATCACAATGTCTGACTTACATCATGATTCAGTGCCATATACTGTTTACTGAAGTAGCCTAGTAGGTATATCAACATCTTATACAGTCACAACTGAATGTCAAATCAAATAAAGTGCAATTCAGTAAGATTTTTATTTATTTTCATATTTTATATATTATTTTATATATTATACGTTTTTAGAGCATGTCATGTGAAATAACTTCCCCCTGACTCACTTTCTTCTCCGACTGCTGTGTCTCGCCTCGTCCCTCCCCTGTGTGTGCGTCACTCACTCGAGTCTCAGTGCTCATCGTAATGCACAGATCTGATTGGCTGAGTAGCGTCACAAGTGATATTTACAATGCATGCGATTGGTCTGTGAGTTTCCCGAGGCCACTGAAGCCGTACGGTAAAGGCTAGAAGAGCTACGCCGATTAAAACAGGACCACCCCATCAAAATTAAATATCAGTTATAGGTCCAGGTCCGCATAGGACAGCGTCTGGGTCCGGGCTCGGACTGCGGTCCGCCTATTAGTGACTTCTGCCCTAGAGGAACTTTACAGGAGGCAGCTCAAGACTGTACATGTCGTTTTGCTACATTAAAATATAATTTGTTAAAAAAACACTTTAGTGAATCCTGGATGTGATGTGGTTATAGAATACCCTGCATTTTGTGTGTGTGTAACTAGGCACTGCTTTGAAGTCTTGGGACACACCTACTTATTATTGAGTTCAGGTGTTTCAGCCACTCATTGCTAACAGGTGGATAAAATTGGGCACATAGTCTTGCAGTCTCGATAGACAAATATGAAATTGGTTTCCATGGCCAAGCAGCTACACACAAACCTTAAGATCAAAATGCGCAATGCCAAAGGGGCGGGAGGGGGGTGTTGTAAATTACACCACCACTGGACTCACTGGACTCACCACCACTGGAGCAGTGGAAACGTATTCTGTGGAGTGACAAATCACGGTTCTCTACATGTCAGTCTGATAGACGAATCTGGGTTTGGTGAATGCCAGGAGAACGTTACCTGCCTGACTGCACTGTACCAGCTGTAAAGTTTGGTGGAGGAGGGATAATGAGCTGGGGCTGTTTTTCAGGGGTTGGTCTAGAACCCTTAGTTCCAGTGAAGGGAAATCTAAATGCTTCAGCAGAACAAGACATTTTGGACAATTCTATGCTTCCAACTTTGTGTGAACAGTTTGGGGAAGAACCTGTTCCAGCATGACTGAGCCCCAGAGCACAAAGCAGCTCCATAAAAGCCTGACTGGGTGAGTTTGGTGTAGAAGAGCTTGACAGACCCTCACAGAGCCCTGACCTCAACCCCATCAAACACCTTTGGGATGAACTAGAGCGGAAATTGTGAGCCAGGCCCTCTCGTCCAACATCAGTGTCTGACCTCACAAATGCTCTTTTGACTGAATGGGCAGAAATTCCCACAGACACTCCAACATCTTGTAGAAAGCTTCCCAGAAGAGTGGAAGCTGTTATAGCTGTAAATGGGGACCAACTCCATATTAATCCCTATGGATTTAGAATGAGATTCATAAAAGCTCCTGTAGGTGTAACGTGTAGTTATCCCAATACATTTTGTCCATACAGTGTAGCTGGAAATAACTGGCCGGCGGCGTTGCAAAGATGGCCACCAAGTGAACAGACTTTTCTATAAGGACTTTGCTAATAGTGTGTGTATTAGCTTTGCTGTATGTTAGCATTGCAGAAAGGAAATAATGTTATGCTGCTTTTATCTTAAACAGTCATGGTGTCTCTGACTTTGTCCATGGAAACTAGCTTTCCTTTATTGTGCGCTATGCTAACAGGCTATCCTCTTATGAGCATTAAGCAGACGTTGAAGCTCTTTGGACAAGTTGAACTGAACAGGTATTGAATCTAATGACCTAATGCAGCTTTCTAGTCTTCAGCTCGTGAAATTCCTAAAAGTGAGAGACAGACAAGCCTTGTTAAAATGCCATTTTGCGCCTGCAGATATGCAGACGTGACTCTTTCAGAGAGAAGCGTGCGTGGATGAGTGCGAGTTACATGTATATCAGACACCTCTCTTGTCTGTATATATATCTTGTCCTTCACTGTCAGGGACTAAGATTTCTGGCACCAAAACAACGTCACGCTTGCTATTTCTGGCCCAAGTGCTACATAGCACAGCAGACTAACATGACTGTGAGAGGGGCATGCTGGGTAGGAATGGGTGTTATCAGCCAGTAGGACCCCGTGGGGTTGGAATAGACTCGCTGCTGATGATTTTTAGAGTGGTGAGACAAGGCCGGAGACTGTTGATGCTACTTAATGAGGATACTATTAGACCGTGGTCATCCGATGACACCGGCATGAAATATGGGCCTTATAGTAGTGAGCTTTCAAAGAGAGCCAGAGAGAAACTACAGGGCTCTGAAGGAGCGGCGAGAGAGATTAGAGTCCAGACCTCAACACCACTGAATGTGTTTGATTACTTCAGAAAATGATCAACCAGCTTCTAAGACTGAACTTTGGAGGTGTGTCTGCAGATTCTTTGAGGAACTCAATGTGAGGCTTCTGTGTAAAATGCTGCGAAATATGTTGTTTCTGCTCTGATAAATGAAGAACTTGTACTTAATGGCCATTTTGAGTGGATATTAAATAAAAGGTGGTCTCTGGCTTTTGCCCAGTGCTGTAATAGAAGCTAATGGGCAGCTGCAGAATTTTGCGAATCCAAGAATAAAGGTGTTAACACGAGACATACTCAAAATGGTAAAAAAAAAAAAAAAGTTCCAGCAATTTTCTCTAAGCTTTTCTAGAATCCTTGGGAGTCCACTATGCTGGTGACCCTCAGAAAGCCTTTGTTCGCATCTTCACTTAGTGCAGGGAAACATGCCGTAATAACTGACCATATGCTACATGAACATGCTGTGATATTCCTTCAATTGATTCGTTCTTGTCTTAAATTAAACACTTGAAAATAATGAGACCCAAATCTTCTGTCAAAGCACTTTAAAGCATTTATTAGAGAAGAAAAAGAGATAAAACATCACATTACAGTAATAGTAACAGCGACAGAGTCTCTCACGACCATCGCTGATTTAAAAGCCACTTCTTTTGCATTAACCAGTCAAAATATATCATTCACTTCTCATGGTGTGCTGAACTCAAGGGAGGGGATTAGTGGGAGTGTTTAATAAGAAGGCTGAGGTGCAGATCAGTCTGCTAAGGTCTATGGAAAAGTCCACACAACAGTGGTATTAAAGCACAGTTACAGTACTGAACACTCAAAGCCATACTTAGTGTTTCAGGCCAGAGCTCTACACCTCAGCTGTAGCCTGTACACCATCTCTCAGAGCATGTTTCCAGACTTTTGACCTCCACTGATTCTACTGAAATTCAGTATTCTTCCACATTTTAATTCGCTTGACTTCAGCGCAGATGTTAACAATTTTCAACCCGTGGCTGCTTTATTAACACCCAATCGCAATCATGTAAATGTATATCAATCAAATGGTTCTTCAAGGGTTCTATAGAAAAGGACATTTGGAAGCATAATGGTTCTCTGCATGGTCAAAAGGTTCTTCTCTATGATGGTAAACCGGTTATACATGGTTCTTCAAAGAACCCTTTTAAAAATGGTTCTTTATGTCACCAAAAGGTGTTCCACTATTGTTTTGAGACAATTCAGTTTCAGTACTATATAGAACCCTTTTTGCTAAAAGAGTATATTTGCAATCGTTAGTCTTTTCCAGTTACAGTGTAGCTGTTTATTTTAGCCATTTCGCCCTTTTGTGTGAGTTCCAGTTTGGGGAAGTGAGGCTGTGTTAAGGCATCTTTTGTATGGAAAAAGTGTTGCTAGGAACATTTTTGGCACTAATGTGAAAAAGGTACCTCATGTGACTCGCACCCTGTAACCATAACAACAGACTGTTCCTTCTTTTTGAAAAAAAAATTGACCTTTTTTTATTTTTGGAAAGCAACACCAAGTATCAAATGTTCCGATTCTACCTGAACACCCTGTACTGTACGTTTAACGTGTATATTGGATTCACTTTGAGGTAAACGCTCCAATTAGACATAACAGAGTTCAGCTTGGCTCAGCATTGGGAAGTCAAAGCTTGGAATTTTGTCATTTTCAACCTCTAAGCTACAAAGCGGGAAAAACACCCCCCAAGAAACGCCCCCACGAAAGCTAACGGTGGCTATATGAGGGATAATTTTAACATTCATGATGTATTTACCTTCTCAAAACAGTGAACTTTATGGTCAGTGTTATAGATTAAAGAACTTACTATCTCTGTATGTTGAAGATGTAAAGCTAATATCACTTAAAAGCATTTAAAAGTTTTTCCTTAACACTGTGGACGGTGTGAGCGGCCGTGTTGATTTGACAACATGAATACGGAGTTGAGAAAACCGCCCCAAGCAATTCCCACTGACGGGCTGATTTTTGGGAAAGACTCTGCTGCTAATTACTGAGTATTGAATTCTTTGCAAGATTTTCACCACAGCAAAGTAACGTTTAATTTCCATGCAAAATCATTTAGACTGTATAAAAAGCATATGGCAACCTGTTTTATGCTCCTAACACTTTAACTGGGTGGGAACAGCCCCTTAAGGCCCACCCACAGTGATGGGTCTGTAAAGTGGAATTGTGCACTGTTAGTGTTTGCCTGTGGATTTTTTTGGTGTATGTGATTCCAAAGAGCGGCCCATGAAACAAAAAACTGTATTTTTTATTATTACATACCATTTTATATCAGTGACCTATGTTGTGAACTATGCTGTAAAGAAAAATACATTTAATTCTGTTTAGATTTCAAAACTTTTGGTCTATTTTACTCCAAAGAGCAGTATGATATTCGGGAAACAAAGGTCTGATTCGTGTCGTTTATACTGACAAATGACACTGTATTTTTGTTATTTTGAATCATTTTTAAACCAGAAATCTTCAAGTCTCAATTCTGCCTTGTGGCAAAATCAGTGAAGGTCAATGAGGTTTGCTGAGCTTCAGTCTGAAACACTACAGTGTATCGCTTTAAGCTGCTTCAATGACATTGAAACAAAAAAAAAAAACAATGGCACACTGTTTTTGCACTTGCTCATCACACTCGATACCACAGCACGACTGCATCAGCGTCACAAACTACCACGTGCTGCAGCTGCGCATTGTGCATGCTTTGTACAGGCTTCCTCACGTAGCAACAAACGGCAACAGAATGGCACCGCCAGAACCGCACGCACAAAGAAAAGAAGAAAATAATGCAAAACAAAGAAAAATTATGATAAAAAAATGAGAATGATAGAAAGAAAGGAAGAAATGGAGATGGCCGAAAGGCTAATGGAAGGGCATATAGGCACAGGAGTGTATCAGGCCACCTTAGATCAGTTTCACAGTCCGAACGCGTCACATCCGCATTTACACCAGTGCAGTTTAAACACCAGCAGTTTTACAGTAATGGATTTTAAAGGTTTTAAAGGAAGGGCGATAAGTAAGGCTCAAGTTCCTCCTTCAACTGACCATTCGTCTTGACCGGGCTTTAGAAAAACAAGCGCTATATACAGAGACAGAGGCAGTGAAGGGTCAGGGGGGTTGGAGGCTGGAAAAGATGATCTAGAAAGGTCAAAAGTAGAGGTGAGTCATTCTGTCCATCCAGGAGGTCACATGACGGTCACATGATGACCGTTTCTGTGTACAGACTGAAGTTATTGAAGTTGTTGAAGTTACTTTGGGGCTGCCTGGCTTTGCGGGCGGGGCTGGGTGGGCGGTGCATGGGGCCAGAGGGTGTGGTGATTTTAGCTATGGGAGCGTGGCTTGCCCATCTGGATGGAGGCCGCTGATTGGCTGGACGAGCAGGACGAGAGAAACTCCTTCTGGGAGCGATGGGAGACGACTCGCGGCTGACCTGGGAAACATGAAATACATAAATGATAAAAGTCTCAAGCTAGTTATGTTACGTTATTGTCATACGTGTTACATATTTTCTCAAAATATTCACTCAGTATCTTGAAACAATGACCTGTTTTCTTGAAATACTGACATTTCAAAATATTGACTCTCACCTGCTGAGTGCTCTTCTGACTGATTGTGTACTGCTGCTCCCCTTTCATCACATCCAGAAACTGAACCTTGCTGTCCCTTCCCTGGCCGGAATCTGCACCCTGTCTTTTTCCCTGGTACTGAGAACCAGCACAGCTGCTCAGGATGCTCTCCACCATCCTGTAATCTGACTGGAGGTCCGCTGCCTGGGATCCCCACTGGCCTGGCTGGATGCCCATTTTTCCGTTCGCCCCTGTCTCCACCCTGTGTGGTGCCTTTGTGTGGGTATATGAAGGGTTGGTGCCGTAATTAGAGCGCCTGTGTTCTCCGTTGTGGACCACATGTCTGGGGCCAGCAGGTGTCCGAGGCTCTTGGCTGAACTCCACCGATACATTAGACTCATGGAGACACTTCTGGACAGGCGCATGTGCAGATGACCTGTTGACACCAAACTTGCGCTGGCAGACGGGCGTATTTTGGGCTTTTGGGGGCTCGACCGGGATCACAGTGGTGACTGTCCCATCCTGGATCAGGGTCTTCCCCTCGTTTTCCTGCAACATGGCGCCGAACTTGCGCAACACTGATGGGCTGCCACCACACTTCCTGTCCAGCAAGGGGCACTTCCGGTCCTGTTGTTGTGGCGACTCAGTAAAGTGGGCGGAGCGCGTGAGGACAGGAGTTGGAGGGCTGTCTCTCTGTTTGACTGGAGGTTTGCTGACTGATTTCTCTGGGGATGGCTCTTTGGAGCAGATGGGATCTTTCCAGCTGACGTGACGGACTCGGCCGTCATCCACACCTTTGTTCTTCATATTCTCCACTTCCTCAAACTCACCAATCCTGTGGTAGAGGTGCAAACCCAATCAAGCAATTGTGAAAGAGAAAAGGCCCACTATCAAGTACTACAGTTCAGAACATGATATGAAAGTGATCATATATTCAAACATCGTGATGTGACCATTCACATATTCAGGTGTTTGCATATGCTAATATGTGAAAAGAGGTTTCGGCTTTAAAAGGAGGCGATAACTAAAGCCCATTTAAATGCTAATAGGTCCTTGTATTAGCACTGTGTTTGGGGAGGTCCCACAGGGTGGAAGAGAGACAGAACCTACCTGCCAGTCACAGGCCACTGTTTACCACCGTCCTGATAACAGTAAACACTCTGGTTCCCCCTGGAGCTCTGAAGGAGAGCGAGAGACAATTACTGAGGATGAATCACCAGACAGACTTTGCAGCTGAGCCAGTTGAAAATAAACAGACATTCAGAAAAAGAAATTCCCTTACCAGGTTTTGAGGTCCAGGTTGACCGTGGCTCTGTCTGTAATCAGGTCCCTGCCCAAGGTATCCATTCAGAATGTCTAAAGTGACGTCTTGGCCTCCATTAACCTGATATTTTTCAGGGCAATAGAACCCATTGCTGTGATGATTAACTGAAGCGTTAGAATATGAGTAATCACTTGGGTGATTATAGCCGTTGGCGTGCTCCACCGAGAGATCGTTTCTTGTCCCTCTGCGTTGACCAACTGGATGGACATCACTTATGTTGCTGTGGCATCTAGTCGGACCGTTGTAACTGTTGCCATGACAGTTATTTGTGGCGTTAACGGGAAGCAAGGTGATGTCCAGGTTCGGGGTGTCTATGCTGGAGGTAGGGCTGTTCTCAGAAACTCCTCTGCGTGCTTTCACTTCCTCATATAACTGCAACATGGACAGAATGGCAAATCAGTCAGGCATTCTCAAGTGTACAGATGGTACATAGCTCAAGCTACCATGACATGTTTTTAAAATGAGTCATAGCCCGGAGATCACCGTAAGATGACACAGCAAGTCTTGGAATTAATTCTGTTGAAAGAAGTAGTTGGGACAGAAATCATATTTTCACAGTTCCCCCCCCTTTATGTAGTCGATCTATATGAGCAAGGAATAAATTGATATAGAAACAAAGATATATAACAAAGACGTTCAACTTTCTCACAGTAACGTTTAGCTATCTGGCTTCCTTCTGTATTAGCCAGCTAGTGGAAAAGGAAACATTTCAAACAGACTGCCCTCACATTTCCACCCCAGAGCACTTGTAGTTTTTAGACGTTCCTCCCACCTTCAAGATGCATCATCAGAAGGAGATATAAACCTGCAAAATCTCACTTTGGAGACTTTAGTGGTACCAATGTATTTTCATTTTGGCCAAAGTGCCCCCTAAGGACTCATGATTTGAGGTAAGTCAGAGTTTGAACAGCGATCTTTGGTGGGGTATATTCTTCCATTATCTGAATTAGCTTCGTAGCTTCAGTGCAAAACTAAAGAAGCAAAGATGTCTTGGCTTCGTCTCGCAAGGCCAGGTGTGATCTTGAGAACATCTGGGGACAACCATCTGGGGAGTCTGGGCTAAACATGTTACGTTAGCTAACGATAGTTTTTGCTAGCTAGCTGATTTAGCTATTTTAGCTACTGCATCGTTCTGCTATAGATTGCACTAGAAGTATTGCAAGTTGTCACCAGACATGTGTTCTTGTTATGCCGTCACCTCTGGCCCTGCAAGACCAGTCTCGGCTGAACAGCTAACATAAGTTAGAATGACTTAAAAGTCCCCCCAAAAAACTCGTATTAAGCAGTGGCTGTTTATGGCACCTGCCATTCACAGTAAACGACAATACAGCCGAAGTAGATGCTGTGTTAAAGTGATGTGGAAAGAATTGGCCGGACTGGCAAATAGTCATGAAAACAGGAACAGGCTGATCCCAAACGCGTATCCTTCTTACAAGATCACATCTGACCCCGCGAGATTCGGGCCGTGGCAACAAACAAAAAAAAAATCCAGCTTCCGCAGCACAGCCACAACAATCAGTGTGGACGTTATGCAACCATGATGTTTCTCCAGAAGCACTGGACTGTGTGTCTGAATGCGAACGCTTGTCCTTTCCAACATCATTAAGTTCGTTAGTATTTGCTTTCAGCATGTGTGCAAGCGGCTGTGCCCATCCGGACATTATTAAGTTCATTAGTATCCGCTTTCACTGTGTGTGTGTGTTGTGTTCAGCCTGTCAACCCGTCCAACATGAGTTTAATAAGCTTGCTAACATCTGTCATGGCTGTGTGTGTGTGTGTGTGTGTGTGTGTGTGTGGTGGCTGGATTTGGGGGAGGCTATTCTTACACACATAAACATACACACACCCACTCTGCCAACCCCAGGGATGGCAGCCAGCCTCAGCAGGGGGTCAGACCCCGTTCAGCCAATCAGAAGGCTTGCCATGAGCAACCACGTTAACAACAACAACAGTGAGGCTGGTGGACTGACCGCTCCTGAGCATGTTTAGATCATCACCTTTCGTCCTTCCGCAGGTCGTTTACTTGCTGTTTGTTGAGGTTTTATTCTTAGGGCTGCTGATTGTAACTATGTTTGTGTTGGTGTGTAAGAAACGCAGTGCTTATTTTTGGTGACAGTGTTGGTGTTTGTTCTGTCGTTTTGTGATACAGATCACTGTGCCAGTGGTGTTTGCTGGTGTTGGCAGTAGGGTTGGTGTTTGCTTGTGTTGGCAGTAGGGTTGGTGTTGCTGGTGTTGGCAGTAGGGTTGGTGTTTGCTGGTGATGGCAGTAGGGCTGGTGTTTGCTTGTGTTGGCAGTAGGGTTGGTGTTGCTGGTGTTGGCAGTAGGGTTGGTGTTTGCTGGTGATGGCAGTAGGGCTGGTGTTTGCTGGTGTTGGCAGTAGGGTTGGTGTTTGCTGGTGTTGGCAGTAGGGTTGGTGTTTGCTTGTGTTGGCAGTAGGGTTGGTGTTGCTGGTGATGGCAGTAGGGTTGGTGTTTGCTGGTGATGGCAGTAGGGTTTGCGTTGCTGGTATTTGTGGTGGTGTTGTGGTTGCACAGTGTTTGTAGGGGTATTTGCTGGTTTTGTAGTTGCTGGACAGTGTTTATTTTGGTTACAGATGTTTAGGTTTATCATTGATCACTCGTGTTGATTGTTTTTTGTTAGTATTTAGTAGTGTTGATTGGTGCTGGTGAGGTGGCTAATTGGTGTTGCTGGTGTTGATTGGTGTTTATGATACTGTTAGTTGGGGTTGACTGCTGTTAATTGGTATTTGTTGTACTGCTGGGTGATACTGGTCAGTGTTGGTCAGCAGTATTGTTTATTGGTGTTGGTAGCATTGTTGATTGGTGTTTATTAGTGTTTATGGGTGTTGTTGGTTGGTGTTTGTTAGTGTTTACTGTCTCTATCTTACCTCCTCTATCTTTCTTTGCATGTCTTGCAGCTGCTCCTCCCACTCCTGCATCTCAGAGTCAAAGGAGTCCAGCAGGTCCACTCGCTCGCCCCCCCACACACACCCGCCATGATCCAGTCCACAGTGAAGCTCAAGGGCTGCCATCACTGTGTGTGTCTTTCCGTATGCTTGGCTCTTCCCCGGCCCTCCACGAGAAGTCACTTAATACCAGCAGTATCAATATACCAGCAGTATCTCAAAATGGTATGGTGGCACAGAAGAGTTCTAAGAGAAAAGAAACAGACGGCGAGATCAATAAAGAGACACTAGGCTGGTGGACCATGTCAGCATTCAAAACATTTCATAATAATTCCATGAGCACCAACAGTTTGTGACTGTTGTAAGAAAACCTTGTATCTCCGAAACGGTGACTTTACAGGAACAGCTTAGATTTGCTTTTCAAAAGTGAATATTGGTCTATTCATCATGAAATCATCAAACAAAAATAAACAAATACCAGCCAGAAATGTAGCCTCTAAATGAAGAGTCCATCCACTATGCCCTAGACCTAATCCTAAACAGAGCAGTGTTTTTTCCCATGTGTCTCCTCAAGGACTCTTCCCCCTGACCGGCATGCCAACATTTCCATGATGTAACCTGGGAAGGCATCCCGGCCATGCACACCTGACCCATTCTGTGGCCATTTCCCATCCTTCAATGCAGAGCTTAAGCGTCAAAGTCGTCAACATGTGCCTTTTGCTAGCGGTCTTCATCAGACTTACTCAAGTTACCGCGATACAGTCATCTGCTCAGCCAAGAACAGGTTGTACATAACAGTGATTTTCTTATCATTTCCTTCACCCGGATGTGACAAGGTCAAGGATCCTTACAAGTTCGGAACCTCTGACCCACTTGGATGGGCTCAGAATAGTCCGATCTGTTCCAAAGCTGCATCAGGGTGTTATTCCGATAACACGGAATTGATTTATGGGAGCGCATGAGCCATCCCTAATGAAATTTTTTCCGCCATCTAGAAACTTGACACCCCGGGTATCTTGGAGTGTCTCGAAAGTGCCTGAAGGTACCACTGTGTGATGTAAGAATTGAATGATATTTATACCCCTGTAACCAGGCTATGCATCGTAAAACAACACAAACCGAGCAAGAGGTGGGCTGCATCAGCACCGTCTAATACATGGCAAGCGTGAAAGGAACAGCTCGTAAAAGGTTTACAAGCCTCAAGTGTTGATAATCTGTAATTTGTGATCTCAGTATATCCTCAGTTATGTCTCATGCAATCTGAGCTGAACACGCAGTACAATGTGTCCCATTATAATGACACGCATTTTTTCCTCATTCATGCTTACGAAAGCAAACATATCTTCATATTAACCATTTTTTTCAGGAAATGTTTCTCTAACCTGCCCGGAAACCCATTAAACTGCAGGTTTACTATTCAGTCAGTTATCCAAAGATTTGCTATTCGCTCACAAATATAAAGGTAATTCAGTAACTACTATAAAACTTAAGTGGAGATCAGTTCCTTGGGGTTAAAGATAACACCTAGTATTCTGTTGTCTATATTACATCAGTTTTCTTACCAGGCAGAGTGAAGCCGGTCTTTTTGGTGACCTCTACGAATGTGAAAGACAGGTACGACCAAGAATTTAGTCCGTAACTCAAGAAATTCTCTGCGAAGCTGAACTGGCACTGTTCCTCTCAGGTCCACCTCAGTCAACAGCTGCTCACACTCTATCGGCTGGTCTAAAGTCCCCCTCCAGCTCCCCTCTGCTGTGACGTAAAAGTCCCGCGGATTGGATTTTAAAGCTGTCCCGTGTCCGGCCCCTCACCCCCAGGGCAAGTGCCTCTCTTCAAGGTAAACAACCCCTCGCAGCAAGACTTTATAGTGCCTCCTGCTATTTCCACCGCGGCGTCACCCGGCCTGGTATCCAGTGTCATAATGTCAGATTTATTCCGCCATTTGCCGTCTCCATGTGAGCCACTGTCGTCACCAGCATCTCTGGGTTATAATTACAAAAGACAGAGGGAAAGTGTTTACAAGGCTGTTTCTGAGGTTTATTTTAGTGCCGCCGCTGTCAGGCCGCCCTGTTGCTGCTCTGCTTTTGGGACTTGGCAGATTTAGGTCTTGTGACTTCAAGGCCAGGTGCTGATTCGCCCTCCTGCCACGATACCAACAACCCGTGCTAAATGTAGTAGCCATCACAGTAGTCCACTTTTCTTTTTTGAGATGCCTGCGGCCAGAATTAGCATGCTGTCAGCGGATTTGATCCCGGCAGTTCACGCTTGATTTAGTTGAAATTTATTGTGACACTTGCCGGTTGCACAATAGCCGGTGTGCGTCACCCCCTCTACAGCGGTATCGACCGCTGACCCAAATAGCCACCGGACGTTTTGACAGACGGAGAAAAACAGCACATGGGATGGACCAGAGAAATACTACGAAGTTTGTCTGCAGAAATATTCTTTCCAGTTAAATGCCTGGTTCTAAAGTAAGCTGCCTTGCAAACATGACCTCCCGCAGGCGTCTACAGTGCGTAGAACTGCATCCAAATTTTGGTTCAAAATGATCAAATGAGCATAAAAACAGTTTGACATCATATCCTCAGGTCATTATGTATTTCACCATGCTCATTAAATATATTCAGCATAAAAGGATGCATGAAATTTTGTAAAACAGAACATCATTAACTACAGCAACTATTCAAGCAGGCACAGAGCACTGAAACAGTACCAGACTTAAATAACAGTCCTGCAGTTTACACAAAATCTGTCCTTTATCAAATGTTAACATAAAATAAGGGCGATCTAGTAAAAATATCACATCGTTTACACAACATGCGTCACAACTTATCATTTTTTTCTGAGGTTTCATAAGTTGGAACATGAACAAGCACAGCTGGTGCCACCTTTAAAACACCTTTAATAACTATATTAATATAAATATAAGCATTGATACCAAGATGGACCGCACCAAATCACGATAAATATCACCCCCAAATAAAACAAATACTGTTATTGTGCACTGGATTAGTGTTTCATTCTAGGCCCCATAGAAGCCTCTGGGAGTCATTTGTGCATCACATCTTATTTTAGATATTAACATTTGACAAACACAGCGAAAACTGGAAAAATGTTTGTAGAAAAACCTTTAGAACGCTGCATTAAGCACAGCAGAAACGCAGACCGTGTTGCTGTGACGCAATTGGCTCACTGGGACGTCACGACAGAAGCTTAGTTGCTTAGGAGTGGTGGCCTTGCCTGGGTCTACCCCACACTGAGGTGGCTGTTCAGTGAACTAAAAAGAGTCAAAGGAGATGGATTGGCTCGCTGCCTGTCGTAGGCCGGCTCTGTGCCTCCGTATTATCTCCAGTCCTGCTTGTTTGAAGCAGCTATTTTCATTTTTAGCTGCCAAGCAACCGCAGACGTAAAAATACAACCCGCTCAGCACAGACGTCTCGTTTTTCACTATTGAATGCGAAGAGTTGCTAATGGCATGATGGAGTGGACACACAGGAATACTGCCAAATAGCCCACAGATCATTATTGTTGCAGTAAACAAGAAGCCAAGCCCACTGCTGTCCTCCGAGGAGCATTTCTGTGCCCTACAGATGCTACAAAGGCGTTATCTCTCCTTACGAGTGGCCTGAGACCTTATCCACAAAGAGCCGGCGCAGGTCCAGACTCTAGTTCCTGTTACCTGACTGATCTGAGCTGGCAAAAACTGCCATCAGCCCAGACAGTAATGAATCAGGCCTGTCACTGACTGGCTGGAACCAAAGCTTGGAGCAGCACCAGCTGGTTGTGGAGGGAAGGGGACTTGGAGCGCAGCCAGGGACTGCAGACAAGAGTTAAACACCTGGCAAAGATATCAAAGCCACTGAATGACTGTTTGCTTGTTTACAGGTAAGTTTTAATGCAGTGACAGCCAAAATCAAGTTTACAGAGCTTCCCTCTTAGCCCAGCTAATGTAGCTAATGAGTAGAAGGTTTGAGCACCCCCATCAAATGACATTTGACTTTTTAATGTTAAAGAACTTTACATACAAAACAGTATTTTTCTGTAAATCTTAGTGCACAATTGAACTTATTCGCTGAGTTACTGGGAAAAATACGTTAAATGTGCCGTAACTTACGCAAAAGCCACATTTTATGTTTCAATTTTTTCCCCAATATGTTCAAGTCAGCAAATAAACAGTGATTGTGCTTTAAAACGTGCAGAAGTGTGTTCTCTGAACACTTATTTTCAGCAACACGTCATGTTACCAGGGGTGCCTAAACTTTTGCACACAACTGTATATCCCAACAATTAGCATCCTGCAGACTGCATGGCTAAATAACACCTGTCTCCAAACAAGTGGAGTTGTAACAGAGCCATTCTGGCCTAAAACTATTTTAATTTGATGTCATTAGTTACGTTATGTATTCTGTAAAATTCAGTTTTCACGATTTTGTGTTTTCGTCCATCAGCATCTCTCACTATACTGCATAACACAAATACCGTTTGACTGGCTTGAGAGACGTCTTGAGGATCTTCTTACAGAACAGATTTGGGTGACTATTGACTTCTACTGACTACTGACTTAGTTAGCCTGATAGCTCCAGCTTTATCGCTAAACTAAAGAAGCAAAATTTGGACCCCAAACATGTTTTGGCCCATCGAATACGTCTATGGTCAGTGGAAAACTGTGCAAACTGGATTTTTCACCAAACTGTTCAAGTAGACCTGCTTAGTAGACACTCTGTCATCAATAAACATGGACTAAAGTCTGTTAAACAGCTAAAAACAACAAAGCAGCCATTTTTGAAGCCTGAATTTTGTCGGTACTTTTGTATGTTTTTAACTCCAAAATTACAAAATGTTTTGTTGTAACATTTTTGATCATTTAAACTTGTTATTTATATACTTTCACTCACCTATGGAGAAATGAAGGCCTGTCAGTGGCGTGAACACCGTCTTCAGTGGGGAAAAGGGGCAGGAATTCTGGGAAATGTAGTGCTGAGCAGTCAGTGTTGGCGTTTGCGTTGATTAACTGTCGTCTTTATGGCAGATTTAAAGTAAAAGCCTGGTAGAAGTTGGAGTCCTCGATGACAGACATGCATTCTGGGCAATGTAGTCTCTAGTAGCACTACAGTGCATGTAGTGAAATCCATGTATTAAAATCCTTTTTTATTTCTTTTTTTAAGAAGTACAGTAGACATGCACAGGCATCTGAAATGTTCTTCGTGGACGTCCCGTTGAGTAGCTGTAGTCCTCAACGGCAAAAAAAAGCACAGGGTCTGGGTAGCAGGAGCCACGAGCCAGTGCTCTGGGGAATGTAGTTCTTATGAGTTAAGAATGCATTCTGGGTAGTGTAGTCCTGTGTGCTTGAGAGAGACACTGCAGGCTGTGAGCCTCCTGTAATTCTGCGACCATGGCAACGCACACGACATCAACAAAGAAACGAAAACAAAGGGGCGGGGAGCTATGCTAACGACAGGATGGGCGGAGATCACAGGACAAAAAAAAGGGTGAAAAGGAAAACGAGTTTAAACATGGTGGCGTAAGAGAGTGAGGAGAAGAGCACTAAAATGAGGATGAGTAAAATGATGGGCTGGAACATCTGGGTGAATAAACGACAGGATTAAAAGACGTGCATCAAAGAACAGAAGGGTGCATGGAAAGACAGGGTCGGGGGAAAGAAAGAAACCGTCAGTGACGTCGAACTTCCGAAAGGAATACTTCACACGGAACGTCGAGGCTAGCAGGAGCCAGTCAGCATGATTAGCCTAGTGCTAACTGGGCCCTGCTAACGTCACCCCTAGCGTTTTCACATGATAACACGCTAGCTAACTTTCGTTAATAGTTAGCTAACATTTTAGCATTTAAGCATGCTAGCATAAGTCTCCTTCATCGTTAGCTAGCATTTTAGCGTGCTAGCGTCTTCTGTGAAGTATTCCTTTAAGCTAAAACTTCACAAAGTTTAATCAAGAGATTTCCTTTTACTTTTCCCACAGAAGGACGTGAACCAGGAAGCTTGTTCCTCGTAGTCTTATCAGCTGTACAGGTTACGATGTGACGCACTGAGCTGAACATTTTACAGCACAAAATGCTGCTCAAAAATATGCCTCAATAAAACCCACTTACATTAAACCACACACTCACATAGAAACAAGCACACACACACTTACACACACCGACCAGCCATAACATTCTGACCACCTCCCTGTTTCTACACTCATTGTCCATTTTATCAGCTCCACTTACTGTATAGGTGCACTTTGTAGTTCTACAGTTACAGACTGTAGTCCATCTGTTTCTCTGCATACTTTGTTAGCCCCCTTTTACCCTGTTCTTCAGTGGTCAGGACCCCCATGGACCCTCACAGAGCAGGTACTATTTGGGTGGTGGATCATTCTCAGCACTGCAGTAACACTGATGTGGTGGTGGTGTGTTAGTGTGTGTTGCGCTGGTCTGAGTGGATCAGACACAGCAGTGCTGCTGGAGTTTTTAAACACCTCAGTGTCACTGCTGGACTGAGAATAGTCCACCAATCAAAAATATCCAGCCAACAGCGTCCTGTGGGCAGCGTCCTGTGGGCAGCGTCCTGTGACCACTGATGAAGGACTAGAGGATGACCAACACAATCTGTGCAGCAGCAGATGAGCTATCGTCTCTGACTTTACATCTACAAGGTGGACCGACAAGGTAGGAGTGTCTAATAGAGTGGACAGTGAGTGGACACAGTGTTTAAAAACTCCAGCAGCACTGCTGTGTCTGATCCACTCATACCAGCGCAACACACACTAACACACCACCACCATGTCAGTGTTACTGCAGTGCTGAGAATGATCCACCACCCAAATAGTACCTGCTCTGTGAGGGTCCATGGGGGTCCTGACCACTGAAGAACAGGGTAACAAAGTATGCAGAGAAACAGATGGACTACAGTCTGTAACTGTAGAACTACAAAGTGACCCTATGTGGTCAGTGGAGCTGATAAAATGGACAATGAGTGCAGAAACAAGGAGGTGGTCATAATGTCATGGATGATCCGTTTTTATATCATCGCTGTTGTGACAAAAAATCGTATCTCCAAAAATATTATGGTCAAATTATAGAACATTTATAAATTGACATGATTCAAATGTGTACAGCGGCTCCACATGAATGTAACACGTTACATCAGTAATAATTACTATGTGTTGGTACTTAAGTTACTCACTCAAGTTGAGGAAACATTTCATTTGTGCGGAACCGATGTTCACAACCGAATCATGTAAATTCACCCACTTTTTTCGGTGGGATGGACAGCTAGCGAGAGGCACACGGTGTCCAAAAACGAAAACTGAAACTAAAAAGTGCAGAAACCAGATTTTGTTCTGACAGTGATGATATACAAGAGGCTCGACCGATACGAAAATCCATCCACTGAAATTCAGACTGACTTTAAAGAGCTTTGAAATCCAGCCAACTTAATTATATATGGTCATAAATTAAACTCCCATAGTTTTAGTTAAACAGTGCTTTACTGTCTGCAATCAAATACGACTGTCACCTGTCAAACTTCTTAAACTCAGGTAGACTTATTAAATAGTACAAACCTAAAACAACTAATAACTTCACAATCTTACATCTTAAAAAGGTAAATAACACGAACTGTAACAATACTGAACTCTAAAACAATGAAAAGTACACTGCACTGAGCAAAAGCAAGCAAATAATGAAATAAATAAACACACAAATAAGTAAATAAATAACATTAATTAATGAATCTCACAAATGGCTCACAAAATCTCTCACGAACAAAATCAAACTCTGTCTCGTCTGATACAATCAGTCACAATACTGGGGTAGTTTTAGAGTAATTTCAGTACAACAGCCTACTTTTGAATTTGTGTCTTAGGTGACTAATTCAGTTAAAAGTAACTCATTTTAAAGCTGTTCAAAATGAAATACATCGGAATCAGTACTGGCCGATACTGAAGGTTTCAGTATTAGTATTGGAAAAGAAAAAGATGGTAAAAAAGGCACTGTTTTATGACTAAAAGTGAAAAAAGGCTGAACGTTTTGGCCAAATTTTCAGATTTAATACGACTATAACAAAGTGTCAAAATCCAACACTTTACAAATCATCTGACTGATAACAAAAATGAGAAAACAGTGATTACAAACTGCTTTTCCTTCGCTCTCCTGCGTCCGTCAGCACAGAAGGGTTCAAACAGCTTGAGCTGCAGCGGAACAACAGTGAAAATATCAGCAACTCTTTGACTGTTTCTATGAGGATCATTAGAATCAGGATTTATGATCTCTGTTTATGTGGAGCTTCAAGGGGCAAGATATGAAACCCAAGAACTTCTCCACAGCAGAAAACATCCACAAATGACTAAATACAACTAAAAAATAATGGAATTCACTGATTTGGATGACCAACTGGTTTCTGTTGTCGAGGATGTTGGATTGGGTGGCACATCCTGTTGCTACATACTGTAATCAGTAATATATAAATAATAAAAGTGTACTTTCCCTCTTGTTTTGTAGCTTTTATGTTTAGTATGTTTATTCATGAATAGAAATTAAAAAAAAACAAACTTTCGTCTTGAATGTCAGTTTTGGCCAGGAATTTTTCTTTCAGTGTATGACGAACGGTGCCATCTGTAGGCACGGCTGAATACAAAGGTTTGGGCGCCCCTGGTCAAATGACATGCTGTTGTTGATTGAGTGTTAATAAGTGAACCAATCCTCTACAGAGACACACTTCTGCACATTTTAATGCACGATTATGCTACGTTCATGTTACAAGCCTCGTTGCTCAAATCCATTTTTTTTGCTTAAATCCGATCTCTCTGACAGGATGGTTCACACTCGTTTAGGTAGGTGACTCAAATCTGTCATTAATGTGACGAACAGGTGTCCTGAAATGACCCTAATGAGCTCATTCTACTCAGTAACGTCACGTGAATGAATCACGTTCATCATCAGCAAAAACTAACGAGCAGAACGAGCTTCGCTGAGAAGATAATTAACTCTGATCAGCTCTCAGCTTCATTATTAGAGCGAGACGAAGGAGAAAAAGGTGAGATGTGTTGCTTTTCCACCGTTTACAGGCTTTAACTTCTGTTCGACGCTGTTGCCATGGTAACGCTGAATGATGGCGCACGCGCAGTGGAGAAAAAGCACATGAATTCCGATGTGAGCGTCACATTAAGGTCGCATGACCACGAATCGGATACGTATCCAATCTAGAACCACATATGGTAGTGGCTCAGGTCAGATTATTATTAGGTATTTAAATCTTTTCCCTGTAGAGGACGTGTTAACATCTAAACACACTTCAACAAAACATCAACAAAACATAAAAGATACAGCTCTGAAACCTCAAGACCGGCCAGTTTTATCGTCCCAATTATATATCGGTCGAGCCTCAATGTATACACAGCTGCACACACTCTCACGTTCAGGCTGGACTCACAGACAGCGGCTCCTCGGAGCGTCTCTCCTCCGGCCTGGGCAGCTCCAGCCGGTCTATGAAGCCCTGCAGCTCCTTCCTGAAGGCCTTCATCTGAGCGTTAATGCGGAAGAGCAGCTCGTGCTCCCGGACCCTTCCGGCATCGTCGCCCTCGTCCCTGCGCCCGAACGGGTCTCCGTTAGCCACGAACGTGCGTGCCTCTGCCATGATGGTGCTGGTGTCCGTGATGAGGCGGTCGATGGTGCGTCCCAGCCGCTCCGCCTCCACTCGCACGTCCATCATCTGCTGCCGCTCACGCAAGGAGCGAGGGAGGAAGCGGCTGGAGTCAGAGGAATAGAGCGGCGGACCACGAGGGCTCCGCACCTCCTCTGAATCGCTCTCGCCTCCTACGGGGCCCTCGCGCTTACGGTGAGGAGGGAGGCGCGAGGAGGAGTCGTCATCGCTCCCCCTACGTCCTGCTCTTTCTCCTCCTCCTCCTCCTGCTGCTCCTGCACCTTCGCTTTCGGCGTCGCTGTCCAGGTGAGTTGTGGTCAGTTCGTAGCGCTGCATGTTGGACAGCAGCACACGGTTCTCGTACTGCAGCTGCATTACTTTCCCGCTGAGGTCGTTAATCTGCAAACGCGCCGCCTTCAGCTCCTCCTGCAGCGCCTCCGCCTTTCCACCCTCCGCTACGCCTGCACGACATAACATGATAGACAATAATCAGCTGAATACTTTGTTTCAACATCCATAATGTGGGTTTGAGGTAGTTTTGATCGCATTAAAATGCCATTCGGCTCCTCAATCCAGTAGTTGAATAGTTGCCACTTTGGTTCACTAGATTCGTGCAACGCAACACAATGCAATGCAACGCAATGCTCATTTTGCTCGCTAGACTGGGTCCAGTCTAATGGAGCCAGACATGATGACACAATGTGAATACACATCTGGGGACAGCCTGTTAAACTTTTCGTGCTGGACTACAGCAAAATAAGCCACTAACAAGAATATACCCTCTTCCAGAACCCATCCCCAAATTTCTCTAGTCCATGCTCTTTCAATATCAGGAGAACAGTGGGCCTCATTCACCAACCGTTCGAAATTTCTTCTTCAAGCCCACTTCTGCAGTTTTCACGAAGGTTCTGACGTTCACCAATGTTTGTTCTTTGGGATTTGTTCTTAGGTACAGTCAAAAGCACAAAGGTGAGAACAGTTCTGCGCTGTAAGAACACCTCATGAATCTGACGTAGACTTTTTCTTACGAACTTTCTCAAGACCACACTTAAGTAAAAACTTAGGAAGATATTGGTGAATGAGGCCCAATGACAGCACAAGCTAATTAAGCTGGCGAGCACAATGCTATCCTTATTTAACAGACCTGGTTCTTTGAAAGGGGTAATGTTTATGTTCTCTGAACACTCGACACACATCTACATACTCAACTGGAGATTTTAAAGGACTTTTCAGTACTGATTTCTTACATTACATCCACAGGCTTGTTGCTCATCAGACCGTGTTGATGAGCAGACCATCGCTCCCTACTCTGAGCTCCACCTTCACAAGGCATTGGACTGGTTTAAACATTTCCCACTCAGTTTGTTAACAACCTAAAGAGTCTACAGTCTAACATTACGATACCTTTAGCTTATGTTACAGTTAGTGAGCATTGACCTAATTTTAATTGCTCTTGTGAGAGGCGGTGGGACCCCCCGTGTTGTTATCCTTTTTGTTGAATGGGATGTACCCAGTGCATTCTTTAGTTGCAGAGCTTAAAAGAAGTGTTTAGACAAAAAAATGGTGTGAAGGTCCCACTACGTTAAAACTGCATCCGTTTGGCTCCCAAGTGGCGCAACCGTCTAAGCGTTGGCCCTGTCATCAGGAGATCGCGAGTTCGATCCCTGGTGATGCTACAGCCATCCGTAGCCGGGAGTCCGAGAGAGCACAATTGGCCTCGCTCTCTCCGGGTGGGTGGGATGGCTGCCCTTCTCCCCCCCATCACTCACTCAGCGCGATGCTAGTCAGCACAGGCGTCTGTTAGCTGACGTAACAGATCTGGCGGTTGGCGCTTTCCTCCAAGCGCGTTCAGCTGCCCAATGACGTTGCGTGAGCGGCAGCTCGAAAAGAAGCGGTGGCTTCACAGGTCTCGGAGGAAGCCTGTGTTAGCCTTCACCCTCCTAGCGTTGATAGCATCGTGTGTGATTGGGGGAGTCTTAACTAACTAGCGAGTGGAATTGAAGACGACTAAATTGGGGAAGAAAATCGGGTAAAAATTGAAAACTGCATCCGTTTCTTCGTCCGAGAGATTGGACTTGATGTGAATCGGCTTTAACAGTCCAGTCCTGCCCGCGATCGCGGTATTGCGATCGGCCAGTCGTGCTGAAAGGTGATCTGCGATTGGTATCAGTCCCAAAAACACTGATCGGTCCATCGTTAGCATTTATAATAACATATTGTTGTTCATAACCACACAAACCAACCTGACAGTCGGAAAGCTTAGCTAGCAAACTGTTTTCAGTGTTGCAATTACGGAGAGCAGAAAATCCTGATTCTTATTTGTATTGACGATAAATAATGTTAATCATTAAATCAAAATCACCTTCAGCTTTTTCAAAGTCATGTTCAGCTTTAAAATTGAGCAACAATTATTGAACCTGAACAAAAAGGTAAAAACAGTGATATTTTGATTCATTTTGCTCAGCCCTACCTTCTGCTGCTGAAGCCCCGCCCCCAGAGGCGGAGCTACCGCTGCCGTGTCTCCAGCCCTCCTTGAAGCGGAGTTTGTTCAGCTCTCCCGTCACCCTCCTGTTTTGCTCCTCCACGTCCGCCAGGTTCCTCCGCAGAAGCTCCGCCTCATCCTCCACCAGCTGCAGCTGCTGTCTGAGTTCCGAAAGCTCCGCCCCCTGCTCTCTAGCCCCTCCCCTCTCTGCCCCGGCTGCGCCCTCGGGTGACGACTCCGACCCCCTCAGGTTGTCCAGCTCGGCCCTCAGGCCGCGGTTCTCCACCTCCAGCTCCACGATCTTTCGGCCCAGGATGTTGGCCTCCTCCTCCACCAGGCGGAGGCGGAGCTTCAGCTCGGATTCCCGCGTGGTCGGAGGACCCCCGGCCTCACCTTTAGGGTGGGGGCTGTCCAAGTCGCCATAAAAGGAGCGGTACTTCTGCAGCTCCTGCTCCAGATGGTCCTTCTCCTTGTCGATCTTCGCCATCTTCTTCCTCATGAGCGTCGCCTCCTCTTTGATGAAGGATAACTGGCACTTCAGATCATCGTTGTCCTCCTGAGAGCCGTAATAAAACACACGTTTAGACCATATCAGTAAAAACAACGGCTCATGTTTATCAGGCATCTTTACGTAAGTACACAGGGTCGAAACAGTTATCAGTCATCAATAATATCGAGAATTAATGTCCAGAGTGGGGCAGCAATACTATGTTAGCAGATCAGGCCGTTAGTTTCTGATTGGTCAGCTTCTTGCTCCAAATTCCCGTTCCACCTTAAATGGAAGGAGGAATTCCAGATTCTTATTTAGTAGTTAAGATGTAAACAGAGTGATTCAGAGTGATTTGGTGTGAAATGGTTCAGATGTCTTTACAGTGGTGGTGATGGGAACCAGGGGTCACCATGACAACAACACAAATATAGCCATTTTATTTACTATCCAGAACCAGCAGTGCACCTACACGAGTCTTCTGAGCGTTTATACGGAATGTTGATGATGGAAAACAGTGGAAAATCTGAAAGCTTAAGTTTTCTTCGGGGACTATTTTGCCTCATGACACCCTGCATGTATCCCTCCACCATGAAGGAATTTTAAAAATATGTTTTAGGCCCAAAACTTTCTCAAAACTATCGTAAAACAAAAAAGACATCAGGCAGTGAATTCATAACCGTTTACTGTAGTAACTTTCTGTGAGGGAGCTTTTAGAGGTGGACGTCTGGTTCCTATCACCACCACTGTAAGTTTCTCTAGAACAGAGTGTTTCACACCAAACTACTCTGAATGACTCTGTTTACATCTTAACCACATAATTATGCAGACATATTCTTAAAACAGAGATTTTCATGCACTCAGCCCATAAACTGTGCAGCTGGGCTTGTCAGTCTTGTACAGAACATGCGGGCAGAACGTGTTTAATCTGCGCCTGAAATCTCGGCAGAGACTCAATATAACCAGCGTTGTTAATGGGTGACACAGCTACAGAAATAAAAGGCTATTATTGTTTTTATTGCTGTTATTACTATTACTCACCTCACTGGGGGTCTGGGTGGGCTTTCTTTCACTTTTCTGAGCGTCCTTACTGCCCCTTCTCTTCTGAGACTGCACACAGAGCAGGTACGTATATAACACATACACACAGACAGGTTTATGATCACGTTATCAGAGGTGAAAGACATGAAGTTAGAGAGAGATTTGAATAGAGAGAGAGACATTAGGAAACATAAAGAGAGAGAGAGAGAGAGAAATATAAAGAGAGAGATAGAGAAACATAGAAAGAGAGAGAGAAACATAAAGAGAGAGAGAGACATAGACATACACAAAGAGAGAGAGAGAGTCTGTGTGAGTTAGTACCTCCTTGGTTTTGTCCAGTTCGTTCTGCAGGGCCTGTTTTGTGACCTCCACCTCGATCAGGTTCTGCCTCAGTCTCTCGTTCTCCTCCTCCGTCTTCCTTCGTTTCTCCTCCACGTTCTCCAGTTCATGGTGGAGTCTCACAGACACGTCCTTCGCAACCTTAAACAGAACCATCATCGGGGGTCAAACGGGGGGCTAAAGCAGCCAAAACTGACGCTCCCAGACCCCCTACACAAACAGTAATACACAACACTACCCATCTCCTCTCACTCGCTCTCTCTCTTTATCTCTCTACATATATCACTCGCTCTCTCTCTATCTCTACATATATCACTCTCTCTCTTTATCTCTCTACATATATCACTCGCTCTCTCTCTATCTCTACATATATCACTCGCTCTCTCTATCTCTCTACATATATCACTCACTCTCTCTCTAACTCTACTCTCTACATCTCCTCTCTCACACTCTATCTCTTTCTCTATCTCCAACGACTCTCTCTCTCTCCATCTCCAGTCTCTCTATCTTTCTTTCTCTCCATCTCCAATCTCTCTCGTTCTCTTTCTCTCCATCTCCAGTCTCTCTATCGCTCACTCTTTCTTCCTCTCCATCTCCAGTCTCTCTATCTTTCTTTCTCTCCATCTCCAATCTCTCTATCTTTCTTTCTCTCCAACTGCAGTCTCTCTATCGCTCTCTCTCTCTTTATCTCCATCTCCAGTCTCTCAATCTCTATCTTATTTCTCTTTCTCTCCATCTCCAGTCTCTCTATCTCTCTCTCTATCCCTTTTCTCTCTATCTCTCGATGTATCTCCATCCTCTCGTTCTTCTCTCTTTCCTCTCTCCCTCTTTTCTTTACTTCTGCCCATCCTCTCTCTCTCTCTCTCTCTCTCTCTCTCTCTTTCTCACTCTCTCTCTCCTCCCCATCCACATTCTCTCTTCTCTTTACCTTTGTCTCTCTCTCCATCTCTTTCTTCCCTTTACTTCTGTCTCTCTCACCTTCAGGTCCTGCTCGAGGCTCCTGAGCACGCCCTCGTCCACCTCTCCGGTTTGCGCATAGCGCATGCGCCTGCGCTCGGCTTTGCGCAGTCTGTACTGCAGGATGCGGCAGTTCTTGTTTGCGCGCTCGAGCTCGCGCCGCACCTCCTCCAGCTGGCACGTGTCCTCCTCGAAAAACGAGTCGCGCATCTCGTCCATCTCCGCGCGCATCTCCTCGATCTCCGCCTGCGTTTCAGTCACGAAGCGGATTTTTTTAGTTTACATAACAAAAATACAGCGATATTAATATTAATAAACACACTAATACAGCCATATTAATATTAATAAACACACTAATACAGCCATATTAATATTAATAAACACACAGCGTCAACTTGCCCTCTCATTGGAACTATCCGTACCACCTTAAATGATGCTGCACCATTTAAGGTGGAACGGACAATTCCAATAAGAGGCTAAGTAAACACGGACAGCTCGTGCCTGCATCAGTGTTTAGCCCATGCAAAGCTGAATGCACGCGCCAAACCTTGAGCTCTTCATTCTCCTCCAGCAGTTTGTCCACCTCCTCGCGCAGCAGGGCCTCATCCTGCTGCCGGCTCGCGGAGCTCTGGGCCTCCGCCGCCTCCTCCTGCATCTCGGTACGAAGATCTCTGAGAGCTCGATTCAGCTGTTAATCCCTCCTCCTCGCGCGGATGTGTTTATCCCCCTCTAACCTCCTCGCGCGCTAACACCGTGCAGGCCTTCTTCGTAGCTGCTGCATCCCTCTCAGTAACATCAGGCCCAGCCTCGCTCCTTCCTCGCGCCCACTCTCGCGGACAGACAACCGACAGGAACACACCAGGATCTCCAGCAGCGACCAACGAGTCGGCTCTTTTGAATCGGCCCTTTTCAATGGGCCGTTCGAGCCGATTCACTGAATCACAGAGTCGATTCTCTGATTTTTTTTCTGTGGCATCTATTAAAAGGGAAAATCACTGCTTTTATGCTACATTTCTTCATAATCAAATGGTAAAGATGTGAACAACCCACATCTCTAGCAGCGACCAATGATTCCGCTATTTTGAATCGGTCCTTTTCAAAGGGGCGTTCGAACCGATTCACTGAATCGCGGAGTCGATTCTCTGAGCTATTAAAGGGGAATTTCACTACTTTCTTGCTACATTTCTATATAATTAAATGGTAACAATGTAAACAGAGTCATTCAGAGTGGTTTGGTGTGAAATGATCGGTTCTAGAGAAACTTACAGTCCGAATGATTCACAGTGGTGGTGATAGGAACCAGACGTCCACCTGTAAAAGCTCCCTCACAGAAAGTTATTACAAGTAATGGTTATGAATTCACTGCCTGATTTCTGAGAGATTTTTATGAGATTTGTATATTTTAAGTGGTGGAAGGATACGTGCAGGGCGTCATGAGGCAAAATAGTCCTCAAATAAAACGTATTTTTGAGATTTATCACTATTTTATCTAAAATCCAGAAATTTTACTTTAATTTCATCTAAAAATCTGAGTCTCTACAATCAACTATTTAACACCAGACCACTTGGAATCACTCTGTTACATCTAAAATACTGAATTATGCAGAAATTTAGGTGAAAATGCCCTTCAAGTAACGACTAAAGCTGTGCTAAAACATAAAAAAGTTCTCCCAAGTAAACAAAAACACAAAAATAATTCTAAACAAAAAGCAATTCTAAATGAAAAATAAGTGATAAAGCAGTGCTCTATTAAGTGAACCATGACTGACTAATGGCCATATTCCACTTGTTGCTTTTAGGCATCATATTGTGCTGTTACACTTATGTATCTCTACTTTTTGCGATTTTAAGTTTTCTACTTAAGTCTCTGCCCAGCTGCTCTTTACATTGTGTTAAAACTGTATGATGAATGGACCAATAGAAACACTTCTAAACAACTTAATAAAATCTCAACACAATAAAATCTCTTCACATTCACTTACATTAAAAGTTAAAAAGGGTTTGTCTCCTGTAAAGTTACCGTTTTGGAGGTACTTGCTTCTCTTTAGAAAGGTACAATATTTATTTAAGAAATTATAAAAACAGAAAAATCATTTATATGATAGTAAAGGCTAAAAAAAATACTTTAACCTCTGACAGATGCAAATATTTGCTTAGATGATGAAAACTGCTTTTTTGGGAAATGGTCCAGTGCAGAAACATGTCATCTACAAAGTGCACCATATCAGAAAGAGGTTTAAAAACGCCCGTCATGTGACCCAGTAGAAGGTTTTTATTGGTTTATTCAAACTTTCCTAAATTGTAAACCCTTTCATTTCCATTAAATTTGTACCATACATTGTAAAATTGAGAGAAATGGATTTGTTGCCTTGAGGCAACGATAGAGGGTTAAGGATGTGTGTTGTTTTATTAGCAGCTCTGTGAAGCTCATTGTGAGGGAGTTGACTCCAGTGATGGGAGTGAAGATAGATTAGCATAAGCAGAAGAGTACCAGGCACTGTCTGACCATGAGAGAGAGAGAGAAAGAGAGAGAGAGGGAGAGAGAGATATCAGTGTGAAGTCTGTTCTCTCTGTTATAAACCCGCTCTGTGTCTGGACTGTTTGTGGTCCAGCCTGTTGATATTAACATTGTCTTTTCTCTCTTCGGCCACAACATCACTACAGCGCAACACTGAATAGTCTCTCAGCCTGCAGCAGGAGTCGCAACACAAATGATAAGAGCCATTTTGTCCTTTGGAGCCACAATATTTTATGTCCATTTTACCATTGTGGCTGTAAATATGTCTCAGTATGTGTTAATGTTCTAGTATAGGCTAAAAAATATATAAACAAAAACACAGTCTTACTTTGCTCTGCTTTAAGCTTTAGCTCAGCTGTAGCCGCTTTTCTCACATCTCTGGCAGGAAACTTTACCACTAAATAGAGCAGTTTCTTGTAAAACGTCTCTCAACGTTTGACTTCAGCTTCTCATTCGCCAGTTTCTTGTTTCGAATTTTCCCGTTCCACCTTAAATTGTGCCTGAGGCGCCAGAATGGAACTGCTGCACCATTTAAGGTGGAAATTCAAACGAGAAACTGACTTCAGACTCATGACTCATAATAAGTTAAGTGCTTAATAATGCAGTTAAGTCAATTTGTCTCCAAATTATCCATGCTCGTCTTAAATCTCTCTCTTTGTCTTTTCGTTAGCCACTGGCTAGGCGAGATGTTGTATGTGTTGCTATGGTGACCAGCAGTCTGCGCTGATCTTCAGGGTTAAAGGGTGAATTAGCAGTTCTACATTAACTCCAGAGTTTAAGACCATTTATTGTTAAACTGTGTTGAACGATCAGCAGAGCTTTATTTTACTGTAAAGGAGGATTATTTTATTTTTACCTACAAATCTGAAGCCACAACAGAGTAGTGAAAGAGCTGCACGTGGCTCCGGAGACAGATGTTGGCGACCCCTGGTATAGGCCGGTTGATTATATTTGAAGTAAAGAGAAAATTGTGTATTTTAATTTTTGGGTGAATTATCCCTTTATCATTGTGTGAAGCTTTTATGACATTCGAACCGGAAATGATCCAAAATTACGTGAAATAAAATCTCATCTGATTGATTTACATTGAAGTTTCTCTCCTCTCCTGAAAACAATGCTTCAGTATCTGAGCTGTTTCTGTCGGCCTCAGTCTGCAGTGCTCTGTCTGACCACAGGAGGGAGCCATGTGTCTGTGTGCAGGGACAGGACTGTGTCCTGGAGCATCTGCTGTCAGACTGAAACATTACGCTCCTGTTCTACGAGGCTGATTCACCACCTTCTTATTCAGCTTTCCGTTCCACCTTAAATGGTGCAGCACTTCCATGTACAGCTCGCAGTAACACACACAGCTTAATGTAACTGCTGCACCATTTAAGGTGGAGCGGAAAGTTCTATAAGGAGCTGAACAGAACCAGAATCCTTCAGCTTCATCCTCTGTTCTGCGGTTTGAAACCATCTCACTTTTCATCTGGTTAGTCATAAATAAATAATCATAATTGTTTTGATTATGAATCAAATTCACCTCATTCTCTTCACCAGATACTTTTCAGAGCTTAGGTTAGGTGTTAATTCATTAATGAAGGATTAATTGAAATGGGCTGTTCTGGAACTGCAGCAGCGCCACCTGGTGACAGAGTTCAGTACTGACATCTGTGGTTCTAATGTATGTGTAGTGTAGCTCATTTGCTCACCTTCCACCATATAGATAGCTTAATAGATAGACAGATAGATAGATAGATAGATAGATAGATGAAATAATTTAATAAAAAAAAACTAAATTAATATATTTCTTTAATCTGCATATGTGATTATTCAGTCTATTCCTGATTATATATATTCATATCAAAGGTTCATAAGTGCAATTATGTAAACAGTTGTCAAATTATTTTGCTTCTTTTTGAACCATTTCCATCTTAAATATTGTGTTTCTTCCGTATTTTTACAGTGTATTTGCTATTTATTTATTTATTTATTTATTTATTTGTAGTATACCGTCGCTGTCCAAGGAAAAGCAAGTATCTCCAAAACAGTAACTTTACAGCAGAGGGCAAAGCGTTCTTTACTTTCAGTGTAAGTTAATGAAAATTTTTTTTCCAAGCCATTTTAGAGCATTTCTATTGGTCCATTCATCACTGAGTGTTTCACACATTGTGAAAAACAGCTGCTGAGCTCAAATGATGCAGAAAAATGGAGATACACGTTTGTCTTTGGACAGCGAGCCGCTGAACAGAGCATCGGGCAGTTCAGCTGCTGAATAGGTTAACGCTGAGGTGAGTCCACCTTATGGTAAGAGGCCCGATGGAAAACTCTGGACAATCCACAATCCTCTTACTGTAGAATCCCTGAGCGAGAGAGGGAGAGAGAGAGAGAAAGAGAGAGAGAGAGAGAGAGAGAGAGAGAGAGAGAGGGGGAGAAACTAATTTGTCTTCCTCAGCCCTCTTAACCAAAAGATTCCATGTGTTTGCCATGGTAACGAAGGAGAGCGGAGGGAGGATCTGTGAGTGTTTCAGCAGAGAGGCTAAAAATAATAGAAACACAAAGTGCATCCAGTTCTGAAAACGTCAGAAACGTTCACGCCAGCCCTGATTCTACTCTGGAGGCAGAACAGAATGATGAACGATGAATATGTGATGCTGCAGGTTGTGGGGGGCTCATCTGAAAGCAGTCGTGTTGGATGAGGTGCTTTGTGAATAGGATGGAGATGAATAGGCGTCGGTTCTGTCTGTGCAGTGTTGATAGAGGCTGAGTTTTGATGTGGATCTTTCTGTGAGGCCTGGATGAACAATTGTGTCAGTAGCTATATTAGGGACCTGATAAGGATTTTAGGGGGCTCTGTCTTCGTGTGCCCCGGTGCAATTGCCCCTCCCCCCAGTAGTAACACCACCGAGTCAGCTGCTTTCACCGTTACAGCTTTGATATGAACATTAGTCTTTTCTGCATGTGTTGCTGTCATCAGAAAACTTTCATAACTTTTTGTTTACTTTTTTTATGCCTTGTCAGCTGCTGTTTACACTATGTTCTTCAAAGATAAAGAGGCCTAAAAGGGCCTTTCAATGGAGAACCATGTTTTTTAAATGTGTGAGTGTGAAGAACCTTTGTAAAGTCAAAAGAACCTCCAGACAATGTAAAGGTTATAGGAAAAGACCTTAGATTGGTATAGAACTTAATCTGTGGATGGATATTTTTAATGAATATAATCACATAAAGCATGTGTTCCCTGTGACTCTGCTATCAGATGAACTCTTGTTGTTTCTCTGTGTATAAAGTGCTGTAACTCTTTGTTGAGCTGCTAGTGAGCAATGAGTGGTGAGAGAAGGAGGAGTGAGAA